AGCCACCGTGTTGGTGGTGGTACAATAGCTGAGCTTAACCTCACCGCGCACGGCCGTTTCATGCATGATGTGGTGGTGCACATCGATATGCTTGGAGCGCACCAACGTGATGGGGTTGTTGCCGAGGCTGAGCACGCCTTGTGAATCCAGCTGGATGTTGATGGCGCCGGGTGACAGGTCCAGGTCGCCCGCCAGCTTGCACAGCCACATAGTGCCTCGTGCACTGCTGCTGCGGCGGCCTGGTACTCGGCCTCGAGGCAGCCAAGGTGCGCTGCAACTGGCTGCTCCAGCTGACCGCTGCACTGCCGAGCAAGAATGTGTAGCCCGTGGTGGACCGGCGGGTGGCTGGGTCGCCGGCCCAGTCCGCATCACTGTACCCGCCGAAGTTGCTGGTGTCGCTGCAGCTGTCGCCACGGTACCGCAGCCCGAGTGTGTGGGTGCCGGATAGGTAGCGCATCATGCCCAGCACGAGGCCCATGTGGGCCTTGGTGGGGACGGGCATGTGTCACACGAGCATGCTCAGAGTGTGTGTAATGTCCGGGCGTGTGCTGGTGGCAAGGTATTTCAGCTCGCCCACCACCACACCGTAGCCGCTGCCATCAATCACTGTCGGCTGGGCGTCGCTGGCTGGCAGAGCACACATGCCCTGAGGCAGCAGGGTGGCGCGCGGCTTGGCATTCTCCAGGCTGTGGTGCTGCAGCAGCTGCTCCACATAGCGCTGCTGCGTGAGCACGATGCAGCGGTTGCGGCCATCCTGGACGATCTTCATGCCGAGGTAGTAGTGCGCCTCGCCAAGGTCACGTACTGTGAAGCAACCGGCGATGGCTGCCTTGGTGGCCGCGACCACTTGCAGGTTGTCCGCCGTCACCAGCATGTCGTTGGCAGTGTGCTCTGCACTGTTGCCTCCGCCGCCGCCACTGCCATCGGGCACGTTAGACTTCGCGCTGTCAGCGCTACCACCTGAGCAGCGGTGGACTTCCCGACTCTCTGCCGCCGCCGCTGCTGCTGCTGTCGGGGGGGGCCGTCACTGACCGGGGCCAGCGGGAGTGTGCAGGGACTGCCGTTGACTGCGGGTGTTGGGGTGGAGGGGTGGTGGTGGGGTCACTGGAGGTGGGGCGCCTGCTGGGGTCGGCAGCTTGGTGGGCGGTGTAGAGCCGCCGATGGGGTCGCTGCCGCCGGGGCAGGCGGGGCTAGTGCCGAAGGGGGTGCCCGCCCGTTGTGAACCGGGTTGTGGCGGTCGTCATTGAAGGTGACGTCGCTGCTCACGGTCACCTTGCCCTCAATGAGGATGCTGTGGGCGGCCGTGCCGTGCTCCGGTCGGCGGTAGGTTTCCGCCTTTGCATGAGGACCGAGTTTGTCCTGCTGGCTGGGTGGGATGCGGACGTAGGCCAGGCAGCTGAAGGTGTGGAGGTGGCTGATGTCGGGGGGGATGCCGTGATAAGCTGCCCACGGTGTGGCCTCCCGGCCCTGAGAGGGGGAAACATTGCGCAGGAGGTTGGTGTAGAGCACAGCCCTCGGCCTGTAGCTGCCCGGGAGTGCTGCATCGTGCAGCATCGTCCGCACACAGCC